ACATCTCTAAAGACTGCGGGTCCAAATGCTATAAACGGCCAAAGCTCGGGTCACCCGCGGTGGGTCCCGCCACCAAGACCCCACTGTCAGACTAGGCACAGTAGAGATTGCCTGGGCAGAGAGACCACCCCATCTGGATTTTCTGTAGTACACCGACATTCAGATCAGAGGCAGACTGTGCAAGCAAAGCACATCCTGATCTCAGGGGCACTGGATGGATGCTGGATGGTTAAAGTTCCCCCTTTCTGTATGTGATTCCCCTTTATCCATGTTCTGTGGAAATCAGCTACATCATGCCATGCAGTAGCCAGGAAGTACGTTTCTTCTTCGCCCTCTTTTAAACTGTTTCGGGTGGTTTGCATCACACCTAAATAGTACCCACGCGGCTCGTCAGCAGACAGCGGCTGCCCCAGGGCTGCACTTCCCTTAGACCAACCCTGCTTCACTGCTTATAAACCAAAACAGAAGACCCTGATGAAAAAAGAAACTTCAAAGCTAAATTTAGATTTCAGCATTTCATTTTTTAATGACACAGCCTTTGAGAAGGGGGGGGGGAAGCAAAATCAGTATTTATTGGAAATTGGAAGTCTTTGGCAAACCTTTTAAAAAGTTTTGCCAATGGCTCTGAATGTCCTCCACTAACTCAAAATGTTATTGTATAACTCAAAATGCTTCAAGGGGCTGGATGAAAACGTCTAGCAGCTTTCCACCTTGTTTGTCAGAGGTCGAAGCATCGTTTTCCATAGCTCATCGGGATAAAAGAACCAATTACATAGTATAAAACAGCCAAATTGCCTATTGAGATCAGAGCCAAAACTATTCTCCCTGAAAGTACAGATTCTACCATTCAGACCAAATGCCCAATATATAGTGACTGCCTGGTGGCTAAAAGGCTCCACTGGGTGGGACCACCTCCAGGAGGGTGAAGTCGAGGCTCAGCTCAGCATCTCCTGGGCAATAAGTGATGTGCCAGGCGCCGGGGGAGACCCTGGAGACAGAGAAATGAGTCAGACAAACCCATTGCCTTTGAGAAAATTAAAGGCCTAACGGGCAAGAGTCATGTAAAGATACCATTCCGCCTTGCTATTGTTAACAAGCCAAAAGAGAGGCCTGGGGAGGGAACCTTCAGCGCCCCCCAGGGCATTCAAAGCAGGTTTTCTTGAGAAGATGACCCTTAAGTGAAGACTCAGAACATGAGTTTAAATGATCCCAGTAGCAGGAGTTCCACGCAGACAGCAGCACGGACAAGGCACAGCTGCCCAAACCCCCAGGGTGAGCACGCAGGGTGAGGGGTCTGGACCAGACAGTGTGCATGTGAGGCTGAAGAATCAGTCACTGGGGGCCTTGTTAGGGCTGGTTAAGGAGTTAGTAATAATAGTGGACACTGATATTTACTGAACATACACTACCTTTAATATGTGGGCAAGATGCTAAGCACTTTGAAGCATTATTTGATTTAATCCTCACCCTAACACCTTAATCCCCATTTCACAGATGAGGGCCCTGAGGGGCAGGGAAGCAAAGAAGCTGTAACAGTCTACACAGCCAGGAAGCAGAGATGGGTCTGGAACCCAGGATGGCCTGAATCCACAGTGTGTCCCCTTCCCTCTTCTACCTCCATCCAGGCTCCCTCAAAGGAAAGACTGGATGGACACACTGGACCGATCTTGCCGGCTACAGGATGGAGAAGTGAGGTGGCCCAACTGGGGGCCTAGAACAAGGTAGGTATAGAAAAGATCAATGGAAACACATGTGCAGAGGGACAGTGGGGGACTGGGAGGAAACAGCACGCACCCCCTCCCCCGACAGCAAACTCAGCAACAGAGTGGGCTTCTGACAAAGGGGTCCAGGGTCCCTAGTGCTTCCAAGCACATAGGGTTAAAATCTGCATCCTTCCCTCTGCCTCAACACGCTCCCACATGTTAGACTCAGTGAGAGCAAAGACTTGTTCACTTGGATGCTGTCTCCAGGTCTAAGCCTCCTGCCTGGTGATGCTCTAAACATACTGTGGAAAAGGAAGAATGAGTGACGGCCACTTTTTGCAGTGGCACCAATGAAGTGTCAGTCTTTTTTTTTCCTTGAATTTTCTTGTTTAGTCTTTTTTGGGGGGGGGAGGGTAATTAGTTTTGTTTATTTTAATGAAGGTACTGTGGATTGAACCCAGGGCCTCGTGCATGCTAAGCACACACTCTACCACTGAGCTATACCCTCCTCCCCTCTTGAACTATCATTCTTAATTGCAAAAATAGACAGTTAAAAAAAAGAAAAGATTTAAAAACTGTGCTGATAACTGAAATAGAGAACATTTTGCAGGTGTGCTGACTCCACAGACAGCAAGGAGGACTCATCATTTCAAGGTGGGGCGCTGCCTTGGAAAAAAAGCCAGGAATCCAAACATGGTGAGTGTCTGATACCAACCATAACTGGTTGCAAATAAGATGTCAGTCATGGAAGTGGCCCAAAGGTAAAAACGTGCTTTCTGGGAGCGAAAGCAAACAGACCAAAGACCACATTGTAGGCCCAGTGATTTCCAGTCTCTGACCCCGACAAAATCAGCAGTGATTTGGGGAAAGAAGTTTTATCTGTCTGACACTTTTAACAACATTGAGTCCTCAACAAGAATCTCTTGTGAGGCGTCTGCAAAGTAAAAGCCGTATTTTTCAGATCTGAAGAGTTTTCAGACATTACAGTTCTCCCCCAAAGAATAATTACTTAATTTGGGGCACTTAGGAAGAGTGAACCTACTGAGTCAAAAACAAAACTAAAAAACTTTTAAGTCTGTATCGTAGTGAAGTTTGCTCTTGCACTCAAATCCTTTGCCCACGTGTCAATATACTAAACTAAATGGAAGATGGGTTTTTTAGGTAACGTAAGGGGTGGCTATAAACAATCCTATTTCATACTCTTACCTTATCACACATTAGTTCAACCATTTTGAGGCTTTAATTCCATAAAAATATGAGATCTGTGGGGTTTGTAGCACTGTTTAAAAGCCTAAATAAAAAGCCACTTGGCCTTTAAGCTAATTGTTTAAAAGTGTGTGTGTAGATGAACTGAAACTGAACTACTGAGTCTGGAATTTGCAACTCATAAATCTTATCCTTGTAAACAAAACCTAACAAAATCAGGGCCCACTAATTTCCTTCTTTCGTAATCTGAAACAAAAGTTGTAATGATTTTTAATGTACACAAAACTAAGGGTTTTTTTTAACCCTTGCTTATTTATTAGCAAACTCTAACTCCGTTTTTAAGAGTTTGGGATATAGAGACAGTTGAACATTCTGGTACTGCAATGTAAGAAAACATCCAAGAAGAAAAAAAGAAAAGAAAACATTCAAGAAGGACACAGTGGGATTTTATTCAACTGAAGGACTCAAATTTGTGTTAGGATTTCTTGTTTACAAGAACGTTTCTTCCTCATTCCATTAAAAACGTCCATCTCCATGTCCCCTTCAACATAAAACATGATTTTAAAAAGCTCTCAGTCCACTTCAAGTACTCCGAAAGGTCCCATGGGGAACCTGGTGCCTATTTCTTCTAGACAAAAACCAAAGGTAAGTCTGCCCACGGCCCTCCAATGATGTGGGCTCTCAGAGCTTCCTCCTCTCATCCCAAAATCCTCTCCAAGTCACCAAAGGGGAGGAGAGGAGCAGAAGATGTCAAAGACGAAGGGAATGTAAACTTATCCAAATCTCACCACATCATCCCACAGATGAGGAGACTGAGGCCCACCACCGTCCAAACACTCAAGTTACCAGACCCCAGAGGCAAATACTCAGCTATGCAGATAAGAGCTGCAAAATTTCTAACTTTCAAGGTCTCAGGGGTTCGATATTTTCCATAACAAATCCTTAAGAGCTGAATTCCTGCCTTTTCCCCTCTCAAAACCCTCTAAAGGTCAAGATCAGGTGGGCAGGGGATCCACGGTTTTAACCCTTCCGTTTCCACCACACATGCCTGCAGAGACCCTTCCAGGCCGTAAGGCGGGGTTGTCCTGCTCCAGGCAGCCGTGCCCGGGACCTGGCACCTGGCACCTAGCGGGCACTCAGTAAATACTCCGCTTCCACCTGACAAGCCCCACTCCCTGCTCCATCCACGCCAGTCGGCAGCGGAGCCAGACAACTTTCCTTTGGAAGCCGCTGCTTTTCTTGAAACTTTGGTACAGTAACTCCGGGCCAAGTCGCCGGCTCGGGGAGGCCTGTGGCCCTCGGCAGGAGCTGAGGAAGGGGTCCCCTGCCATTTCGAGGCGGCTGGGCCATCCCGGGTGGGGACCCAGGTGTGCCCGCCGCTTGGAGGCCGCTCGGGCCGCGGCTCCTGCCTGCGCGGATCACCGACTTCTCAAACTTCCCTTTCCGGGGGTGGGGGTGCCCGGGACGCGGCGGGCACTGCGCCTTTCCTGCCCGCACAAAGGGGGCCCCGCGCCCCCGGCCACTCTCCCGGAGACCTGCAAAGAAAAACGCACCCGTCCCCGCGTGGGGCAGGGGGCGCCGGGGCGCGGGGCCCGGGGCCACGTCCCGGCTTCCGCCCGCGCCCGCCGCCGGGGCCGACTGTCAAGCGCAAGCCCGGCCGGGACCCGCGGACCCCGG